TGGGAGTTGTAGTCCCTGAACACCGCTGGAAGGAACCAGGTTGGTGGACTTCATTGGAAATCATCCTTTGTGGGACAAGAGAGCGTCCTGCAGGGAGGGTAGCTGATCGTTTTGTGGATTTGGGAAGAGAGAAGCACGGGGCACAGGCCGAAGTCTGGCTTGACCGCAGGGAACTCAGCTCATCTCGGCCATTTCGGAGGGAGGCGGTGATGGGGCACGTGAAGACGGAGGGCGAAGAAGAGAGTGCCAGCGATGGGAATGCCTGTCTCTCTGAAGTAGGATAAGAAGCAGGGAGGTGACCTAGAGGCGCTTGAGTCACGGGAAAGTTACTGTGAAAATGCGAGCTGCTTTTTGGAAAAAACAAACGGGGCCAAGTTGCCCTCTTGGCTCGGCCAGCCTCTGCAGCGACCGAGAGGGAGAGGGCCTCGGATGGAGTGGGCTTGCCCCAGCCCACCAGCCATCCTGCCCCGTTTCTGCCAAGGGCGGGGAAGGGAGCCAGGGAAAGGGGCTGATGTTACTAGCGGCATCAAGGAAGTGGGCAGTTGGAGAAGGGAGAGGAAGCATCAAAGGGCAGGTGGCTGCAAGGGCGTCGATCCAAGGCAGCGCAGTTAGGAAAGGTGCATGGGAAGAGATATATTCTCTCTCTCTCTCTCTCTCTCTCTTTTTGGCTAAAAACACTCTCTAGGGCTCCAGTTGCAACCCCTCTCTCAGCTTAATTGTGTCAGGTATTGTTGTTCCATCAAGGAGTTTTGTAGGGCGCGCCCGGGAAGAGGAGGGGGCGCTGACCTTTTGGGACAAATCCAGCCTGAAACTGGGCCCGCCTCTGTTTCCTCGATTGCTGCGTTGTGCTGCTTCGGTTGGATCTTCTCATCTCGGGGCAATTCATCCCGTCACACGGGAGCTTAAATATTGGAGGCATTATGTTCCGTTATTGGATTAGGACCAGGGCCTAATGCAAAGCTTGTTGGGGGAGGCCCTAATAAAGCAGTGCTGAGAAACTGCCGCAGAAGCTGAACGGCTAAATAGCTGGGATCTAATATCTTGCAAGGTGATCTTTCCTCACGCGCAAGCCTTGAAGCTGAGCTCCAGACAGTTTACGAAAGCCAGCAATGATGCTGGTGGGGAACGAAAACCGGGCCGGGGGGGGGGGAGGAATGAAGAGACCTTTCTGGGTTCAGGAGGGAAAACGATCTATATTGTAACGGAGAAGCTTTCCTGCCTCCAGAAAAGGAGAACCCAGAGAAGTCTGGAGAAGGGGAAAGAAGGGAGCATGTTTTTGACTCCTTTGGGTAGCTTGGGAGCTGGGAGATGAAAAGTTGCTCGAGGGCAGGACGTGCCCCGTGAAGCAGGTGGAAAAGCAGCGCTGATATTCTTTGGGGTCAGGACAGGTTTTGGGCAATGAAGGGGAAGGGGAAGCCTGGAGGAGGCCCCGATTCCTGAGAGCTCGGGTGCTTGGAGCCTGGGAGGTGACACTTGATAAAGGCACTCATTACTGTGGAATTAAAATTCAGGCTGGGGGCAATCCAAATTCTGCTCCGAGGAACACTTTTTTGCCTAGTTTGTGTGCACAGGCGTCTCTCTCACACATCCTGGCCGTCATCATTTCTTTGGACCCGGAACATGGAGTCCAGGGGTGGTCAAAAAGATGGCCGATGCAACAGCACGCCCAGAGCTCCATGTGGGTTTTATGTGGCGCTCTTGGGTGGGCTTCTCGATTTTCTTGACGTCGCCTTGCGGAGACCCCTGAAGGAGTTGTTCAAGATCTGGAAGGACCGTGACAGCAGACCTTCTTCAACCGTCTCTTGCCTTCTGGAGGGGTCTTCCAAAGGCATTACCTGCCCCTGTGCAAGGATATATTTTGTGGCGAAGAAGCATGTTTAAAGCAGGATTTTCTTGGGCTACCTGCTGATGCCGAGTCTAGTATCCTCCGGCTGGTCAGTCTGCTGTAGCCAGCAGGAATGTTAGTCCGGAAACCAAGGGAGGCGTCAGGTGCCCACGCCCTGGGTGGCCCTTCTGTTGCCTCGGCAAGGCGGTCTTGGGATTCAGCTTCTCTTCTGGACCAGTGGGAAGGAAGGCATCTTCCTGTGCTTTTCAAACTCTAAGATGGGTGGACTTCAGCTCCCAGAATTCCCCAGCCAGCAGCCAAAGGAGAGCAAGGGACGGAAAAGGTTCCTTGACGCTGCTGCTCCCCTTACACTTGTACTCCAAAGGGTTGGCCCGGCAGCCGACTCAGCGAGGGCAGGGCTTCCTGCCCGGCAATTACGTCAAGTGCTTTTGTAGAGTTGTGATCTGGCCAGCTTTGAATACTTACCCAGAGTAATTACGGAATGAAACCCACGAAAGGAGCAAAGCTTTGCACCCTCTCTTGGGCAGAGCCCCCGCGGGAGACCAGGCCAGAGGCTGCCCCAGTGCAACCGGCGGGTGCTCTCCCTCGTCCCGAGGGCCCTCACGCTGCAGCCGGAGCAGGCCCGCCAAGTCGGAGGGGCCCCTTTGGCCCCCTCGAAGCGACCAGGGCCGTTTTTGGCCTCCGGCAGCCAGATGCAGTGGATAAATCTCCACTGGAGCGTGGCACAGCGGCGGGCTCTGAGTTTCCCTGATAAGCCCAGCACGCGTCCTCTATCAGCTTCTCAGGGCTGGCATGGAAGTGGCCGTCCCCGGCCAGAAATGCGGGCAGCGAGATAGCCTTCCTTCGCCCGAGTGTAGCTGAAGGGCAGGAGACGGAGCGGCGGAGCAGAGCATAAATCTAAGCAGCAGGTGGCCCAGATAAGCAGTGCGAGCAGAGAACAGCCAGCCAGAGGTGGTCCCTCCCCGCAGCTGATGGGCCAAGGATCGTGACTTGCAGTCAGGACACGGATGGGAATAAGCCCATGGAAGATACGCGATGGGGAGGTTTCCTGGAAAAGAAATAATAAAATGAAGGCGGGAGGGGCAAGGTAGGCACCGAGACCCCCCAGCCGATTTTGCGGCAGATGCAAAGGCTGCGTCTTTGTCAGGCTGGACCAGAGGCAGGGCCACACTCGCCCAGCAGCCTGGTTGGGTGAGCCAGAAGGGACGGGGCAGGGCGTGGAGCAGACAGAACTCTTCCTCCGTCGGAGGCCTTCAGACCTTTGGCTTTAGGACTCCGAGATCCACCTGGCGAAGCTGGCTGTGGAAGTAGATCAGAATTACCCCTGAAAGAGAGGAGGAACTGACCCCATGTTGCCTTTTGGGGAGAGGCGCTTTCATGGCACTTGCGCTTTGGCACTGCGGGGAGGGCCTGACGGAATCAGACGAGGCCCAGCCCGTTCTTTGCTGAAGGTGCCGTGCGATCGCCGTGGCAGCACCCAGGTTGCGCACACGGCTGCCCCAGAGACCTCCTGGCTGAGACAGGGTCTCCCTTGCTCGGGGCTGCCAGGAAGGGGAGTCAGAGGGCACCCGCTTGGAGAAGACTGCCTTTGGACCGAGGGCACTGCTGGATTCGGGCCCCCTTCTCTGGTGGCACAGACTGCTTCAGGAGCAGCGCCAGGACCCAGTCTCTGGGCGGCCCCCTTTCAAAGACAGCCTCTGCTGGCAAGTCCGGCCCACCGTCCTGCTGGCGCCAGGTGGCTCTCCTTCCCACGCTGGGAACCGACCCCCCTGCTCAAGAAGGGGCCCCAGGACGGGCTCTGACCCTTCGGGTCTCCCGAGCGTCTCTGGATGCCAGACACCTGCAAAAATCCATTGCCGGCTGCGCACTTGCGTTATTGGACGTGGGAATCCGCGATTGGGCCTTCGATAGTGTTCAGTAATCCACTGGCATCTGGTGGTTGATCTTGTGCGGGGCCTGACCATCAGCTGGGTATTCGCAGGGTGCGGAGATGTCGCTGCCGGCCTTTGATGTTTCGCACCTGCGCTTTGCTTCCTGGGGGCCTCCGGGGGTTGAAGTGCTTCGGCTCGCAAGAGCGGTTGCTTTGCCCGTGCAGCCAGTGCCAGGGCCTCTGCCTGGGATGAACCTCTCCCCTCTCCCCCCCCACTTCCCCCAGCCCCTCTCTCCGCAGTTGCTCTGCCCAGACGGCTTGCTATGTGCCGGATGGGCGCGCCAGACACCCGCATTATCACGGCATGTTCCTTGGCTGCACGCCTGCAGCAGCCATGAGCAGAGCTGCGATCGATTGCGCGCTCTTCCCTGGTAGAGCTGCCATCGAGACAGGCAGGCAGAAGGGGAGAGCAGGCCATTCCCGGCTGTGGGGTGGCGAGGAAGCCTGGCCGCCTCCCGCACCGGGTATGGTGGGGGCTGAGCCGGAGCAGAGGGGAATCCGGGGGACAGTGGACTCTGATCTTCTCCTACCATAGGTATACTAGCTGTAGTAACGTGTGAGTGATTCAGGAAGCTGGGGGCCTCTGCAAAGCCGCTCTTTGCCCTGCAATCGCAACAGCAAGCCTTGCAGGAATGGGGAAGATGTGTGGGAGCAGTGGAAGGTCTAGGGCCCTCCTGAAATGCTCAGATTCCGAAAGCAGAGAAAGGTTTTCTTGTCAGGGATGATGGGAGTTGCAGTTGACTGATACTCAGAGGGCCGCAGGTTCCCCCTCCTGTCCTAGCCTGCCCTCTCGGTGCTTTTGGGGCGCACGTTTCTTCTGCTTTAGTCAGCAGCTATTATTGGATCGCCTGTGGGGACTTGAGCCCGCTTCTAGGAGCCCGGGCCCCAGAGTTTTGAAAAACGGAGGTTTCCACCTCCGCCACCCTTTTGGAACAACTGACGTGCCACAAGCATATGGAGGCCAGTTGGCAAAGGAACACGTGGTTGGGCTTACAACAGCTGTGGTCCCGCTTGTAGAACTCCCCTCTCTGCTGCTGAACGCCAGTTGGCTCTTCGCAGCCTCCGTATTGTTTTTGCTCTTTGGGTATCTGTTGGCGATCCGCTTTGTTGACGTAGCGTCCTAAAGGCGGGATATGCACGGTTGGCAATCTACGCTGGTGAAGCAAATTCAGATGAAATTAACAGTACTGTGCAGCAAACGCAGGGCAGGGGATCTTAGAGAGATCTTAGCATGTGGCCCCTCAGGATAAGAGCCGCCGCCTTTAAACGCGCCCTAAGCCGGAGATCAGTCGCGAAGGCGGCTGGACTGCCGAACGATAGCGGTTTGGACGGAGAGCACGGGAGACAGCAGAACAGGTAGATGTGCTTGGAGACAAGTGCAGGATCTGGACAGACCCCGGTGCCTTAACTGGCCGTTGCTTTCTTTTCTTCCGCAATTACAGATTACATCGCTGGGTTCTGAACCTGCAGGCTGTTACTAAAATTGGCTGAAAGACGGGTAAATACTTAAAATATAGCCAAGGAACGATGGGACGGTTTAGGACCTTCCTTCCAGGTCAGGTACTGGAAAGCGTTGTCAAAATTCGGTTCTTCAGACTCGCCAAAGAAAAGCCTTGGCATCAATTTGGCGGCTGCTTCCCTCGTTTTCTGACGTTCTTGGGGGGTGTCATTCGGCCTGGAGAAGCCGTGGCTTTAGCTCCTCCATAGAGAAGAGGGTTGAAGACACAAGGATGCAGATGGGAAGGAGGTCAGCATTGCTCCCGTTCCAGATAGCCGGCCAGTCAGATAATAAGCAGTTGACAATTTATGGGGACTGTAGCACAAAGAATGTTTAAAGTGGACGTACAAAGCGATCCAAGAAGCCGCAATTATCAATGATAATTTAGTACGTTATTCAAAGAGAGAAAGGCACGGAGTTCAGAGATTGGCAGAGGACCTAGGAGACGTTTTCAATAAGTGATTCCCTTTATCTGTTGTTCAGCTGTAGGAGCAGGTAGGAGAAAAACAGAGGCTCTTGCTGCAGAAAGTCAGAATTTTGGAAGTGTTCTGCCAAAGCAAACGGGGAGAGAAATGTAGCATTCACAGAGAGAGACACACACACGTGCCAAGGGGGAGCACCTTTTCTTTCCATTTCATTTGGGGATGGAGAAATTAATACAGAAACGTTTCTGGCTTGCAGACCAAAAGTGGGGGGGGGGCAGCTACTTTTTCTTGGCGGCTTCTGCGCAGAAGTTCTGATCTCGGCCGGGCTGCTTCGGGGATCCAAAAGGCCGGGTTTCCGAAGCCCAGGAAGGCAATCTGCTGGAAGGAGATTGGATCAGCTCCTGCAAGTCCAGCAGCCTTCTTGGGGCTGCGCTGCAGGTGCAACGCAGTGGACAACCCAGAGGTCACCCTGGCTGGGTGCTGCAAGAGGGCTCAGAGACGAAAAGCTGGCAAGTGAGGAGGGAATCAGGGCTGGGCCAGGCGACTCCAGCGATGGAGGGGGGTGGAAAGAAGAGGAGAAGGAGCAAGAGAGAGAGAGTTTGGGGCTTGGGGGTCCTTCTCCTGTTATAAGAGGTTTCTGCTGGTATTGCTAGTCCAGGTCGTCCTACCTAGGAGAAATGAGGGATAAGAAAGACAGGCAGGATTCAGGAAAGAGTCGAAAAAGCTGAGCCCAGAGGCTGGGCTGGCTTA